GCTGCTTGAGCTGACTTTGGCTCACCAGATTTTGCATCAGGGGCATCGTTAAATCCTAGAGTGGAGAGAAATGCCCAGGCCATGCAGCAGTGCCTGCCTTCATGGTTGTTGGGGCACATGGTGAAGCTGATTACTTTTGGCTCACCAGATTTTGCATCAGGGGCATCGTTAAATCCTAGAGTGGAGAGAAATGCCCAGGCCATGCAGCAGTGCCTGCCTTCATGGTTGTTGGGGCACATGGTGAAGCTGATTACTTACCACGCGACCCCTGCCACAAGTGCCAAGCTCCCCTTCTCTGCAGTGGGTGGTCATGGGGGTTGTAGCAGCACTGTGATTTCCCCTCCCTAAAGCTTCCCACTCACTCAAAACTGGGGGATGGAGGATGGCCAAGCATCATCAGCTCCTTTCTCCCTGCACTCAGCGTGTCTATAGGCATCTGGGCACTTTGCAGAGTGGGAGATGGGGTAGGTGCACTGGGGCTGCCAGGTATGGGGCTAGCAGAGGTTGAGAAGAGAGTTACAGAATGAAGCTCCTACAGCTGATAAAGCCCAAGAGGGCTGAGGTCTTACAGGGCAGACAGGTGCCCTGGTTGCATGAGCCATTTCTGTCCCTGCACAGCAGTGACATCTCTCTCCATGCTCTCTGCTGGCTCTCTCATAATAATTCACAGGCTAACGAGGCTTCAAGAATTGAGCTGGTTTGCAGTGTACTTCACATTGGAGCCTGCATGCTTGTTAGCCCATGTGGGGAGAGCTGCATGTCTACAGCATATGTGTGATGTCTCACAGACACACTGCCCCCCCTCCCCAGTGAGGCCATGGCTAAGGGATTCCTCTGGGACTAAGGCTGGGAGAGGTGTTGCAGTGCTCAGATCTCTCCCTAGCCCCAGCAGGGTCCCCTGGCATGGAGGTCCCCTCCCAGTCAGAGCTGAGCTAAGCCTGCGAGCTATGTGTTGGAGCAGCTCTCAGAGCCACCCAATCTGCTCCCCCATCACCATCGTGTCATGCATCAGCCCTGGGCTGAGCCCTGCCACTGCTTCAGTTTCACCTTCCTCAGCAAGATCCTGCCCCCTGTGTACTCTGAAACCTACTAATGAACAGGGCTGACATGAGAACTTGTACGGGCAACTGCCTGCCCCTGTGAGCCTGAAGACACTGCAGGATGCAGCTCCAGGGGACAAGAAGCCAGTAAGCACAGGCCATGGGGTGTCAAATGCTTTGCTAACCAGGGAACATGACCCCTCTTTCCTCCCCTCCCCATTATAGCCATGCAGCAAGGCACCCCATAAGTCCCTGTGTCATCTGCCTGGCACCAAGCATCTACAAATGGGTTGAGGTAGAAACCTCAAGGTTTCCTCCTCCCATGGCATTTACCTGCATCACAAACTTGTTTTCTTTCCAGAGCTGCAGTGGACCCTGCTCGTAGACGGTCTTTTTGATGGTTTGCATGGCAGGCAGTAAGAGTCAGTGTAAAGTGCTGACAGGGGTGTAGTTTTGGACAAAGAAGTATATGGTGTGGCAGCCCACTGGGACAGGAGTACTGAGAGTCCTGGAGGGTCCTGGGGTGCCCCACTGTATCAGCAGCACTGAGTGGGGCTGGAGGCTCCCAGCACACTCAGGAAAGGGAATGAGGCTTTGGTGCCACTGCTATGCCAGCCCAGGGTGGTGCTTGTGCCATTGGTGATGTCACAGTGTGAAAACAGGGAGATATGGTGGCTGTCAGCCCTATGGCTGTATTCCCAAGAATAGCAGGCCCAGGCACAATTGCTGCCTGTATCACTGCATGCATTACTCCATGGGTACAGCTGCACCGTCCTAGCTTTGTCCTAGCTCTGAGCTTCCTCCCCTCCTGCAGGCAATTAGCTTAACAATGGTACAAAACAGTTTCAGCTGGTCCTAGTGAAGATAATTATATTTTGGATTATGCAAAACCAGCAACAGTTGCTTTTCTAGTCCCTCTCTCCCATATTTCCTAGGAAATCCTGCAGCAACGCAGCTGTGTGCACACAGTCTGCTGGGATAGCCAGCAAAATTACCACCTGCTCTGTCTGACCTTTTTAATTAAAAAGCTGGATTTAGATGATCCTGCATGGCATGTTTGCTCTCCTGTCCTGAGTGCTATAATGGGCTCAGCAGATAGAGTGAGTGATTCTTATACAGGCAGCCAGGTTATGCCAGGGAGGGGGCAGGGTGGATGCCAGCCCATCCTCCTTCAGGGCTGCTGAGCCCTGCTCTCTTTGTTGAGGGGGATGTTGGGGCAGGGCAGCCTGGGGCACCTGAATGCATCCAGGCAAATGTGATTAATGTGCTGTTGAAATTAAGAAAACAAAGTGCCATTGATTTTCACACCCTGTTGGTCTCTGATGAACCAGGCTCAGGCTCTCCATCGGCCCTCTTGGAGCCAGTAGGAAGCTGAGGGGGAAGGGTGAACACTGGAGTATATAAGTGATGCTTCCCCCTCCCCACACCTGTGGCCTTGCAGCACCCTGGGGCACAGCTCTGGGGCCCTCAACATAAAAAAAATATAGAATCATAGAATGTGTTGGGTTGGAAGGGACCTTTAAAGGTCATCTAGTCCAACCCACCTGCAGTAAGCAAGGACATCTTTAACTAGATCAGGTTGATCAGAGCCCCATCAAGCCTGACCTTGACTGTCTCCAGGGATGGGGCCTCCACCACCTGTTCCAGTGTTTCACAACCCTCATGGTGAAGAAATTTTTCCTAATATCCAACCTAAATCTACCCTGCTCTAGTTCAGAACCATTGCCCCTCATCCTATTGCTACATGGCCTTGCAAAGAGTCCCTCCCCAGCTTTCTTGTAAGCCTCCTCCAGGTACTGGAAGGCCGCTATAAGGTCTCCCCGGAGCCTTCTCTTCTCCAGGCTGAACAGTCCCAACTTGCTCAGCCTGTCCTCATAGGAGAGGTGCTCCAGCCCTCGAATCATCTTTGTGGCCCAATCCAACAGATCCATGTCCTTCTTGTGTTGAGGGCTCCAGAGCTGAACACAGTACTCCAGGTGAGGTCTCACCAGAGCAGAGCAGAGGAGCAGAATCACCTCTCTCTATCTGCTGGCCACACTTCTTTTGATGCAGCCCAGGATGCAGTTGGCCTTCTGGGCTGCAAGCACACATTGGTGGCTTGTGTCCAGCTTTTCACCCACCAGTACCCCCAAGTCCTTCTCTGCTGGGCTGCTCTCTATCACATCATCCCCCAGCCTGTACTGATAACAAGGATTGCCCTTACCCAGGTGCAGGACCCTGCACTTAGCCTTGTTGAACCTCGAGGTTCGCCTGGGCCCACTTCTCCAGTTTGTCTAGGTCCCTCTGAATGGCATCCCATCCCTCTGGCATGTCAACCGCACCACTCAGCTTGGTATCATCTGTGAACTTACTGAGGGTGCACTCAATTCCACTGTCTATATCATTGAAAAAGGTATTAAACAGCACTGGTCCCAGTATGGACCCTTGAGGAAACCACTTGTCACCCATCTCCACCTGGTCATCGAACCTTTGACCACTACCCTCTGGATGTGACCATCCAACCAATTCCTTATCCACTGAACAGTCCAGCTGCCAGCATGAGCCAGTGGCTCCCTGTGGCTGTCCCCTGTCCCCATCAGTCCCTGGGGTTTCCAGCTGCTGATGTTGGACTCTAAAATCAGTGATCAGCTCTCGTGCCAACAGCTTTAAGGGGCAGAAATGGCTGCAAGGCTGGAGGAAAGGTTATTTCACCTATCAGTGCTGTATAGATGCAGCACTTCCTTCTGTTTCTGTCACTGTCGGGAGGAGAGGCGTAGCCTAGATGTAAGGGCTGGGTCCTGCTCGATGGACCTTCCTACTGCCTTGAGGAGAAGACTTCCCAAATGCTGGCTGGGAGTTGGCTGACCCTGGTGGGTTTAACTGTGCCATATGGTACAGCTCCACACCAACTGCTTCTACTGCACCCATGCAGGCTGGTATTGGCCATGGTGCAGAGGCTGGCACCCAAAGGCTGATTTCAGTATCTGCGATTGCTGGGGGCTCAGAGAAGATAATGTGGTTCATACCCTCTCAATACATTTCGCTCCAATGACAGTCTGGCAGGCTGGTTTTCATATGTATGCTTTTTAATATTAATTCTATTACACTACACACAACCAGTAACAATGATAAATACTGCAATTGAAATGTAAAAAAAATAAATTATACATTTCATGGGTTTTTTTTAAAAAACACATTTTAAAATAAATTAATGCATAAAACTGATGGTAGATAAAACTCCAAACAAATCACAACACAACTGATCTGTTTAAAGCAATCCTCTACACAGATGGGAACACAAGTACAACAGTGTGTTACATGTTCTGAACAGGAAAACAGAAAGAAAAAACAAACCCATAAAAGATGCAGATTGATGCTTCTGAAGTGAAAAAACTCCCAAACCCAGATAATAAAACCAATAACCAAGTTAAGTGCAGCATTAATACACTCTGCATGTCAAATGATTAGCAGGTTCCTAACATGGACTAAGGTCAAGCTACAACAAATTTATCTTCCTAATTAAAAGGTTATTCAGATCAAACCATACATTTAACTGTACTTTGCATTTGGCTGTTTCAGCTATGTTTCACTATATGCAAGGACAGCTGGAAATTAATCTCCTGCTCTGAGATTAATGCAAAAGTCAGGAGGTCTCTCCTCCTGAAAGATATTTCCATTAAATGCATCCAAAAAGGATCTCGCTTTCGGTGATCCCCAAATGCCTCCTGCCATCCCCTCCCCTGGGGCGCCAGGCACCACACAGGGAAAGGAGACCTGGGAAGCATTTGCTTGGGTTGAGTTCTTTCCAAGCTGAGGACACAAAATGGAAGTGCAGATTTGATACCGACTCTGAGGAGTGCTATTTCCCTGTCTGCCAGAAATGGCTATCTGGAGCCTGCTGAAAGTACTTTGCCAGCATGGGAGAAACCCAGATTGTATCCAGGCTCTGGATACAGCCATGGTATTTGCTATTAATGTTGGTATGAAGCTTCATACCTGTCCAGAAAGCAAATTAATGTTAGTTATTAATGCAGCCCAGAACTTGGCCACTGGCAGATAGACAATAATCATGCCAAAAAAATCCCCCTCTCCCTCAAAAAAGAAAAGAAAAGGGACAGTAGCCACTTCCTGCCAGCTTCTCCCGGTGGATTCCCATCAACTGCCACCTACGCAAGATCAGCAGCTTCAGATCTCACCAGCATTGACCCAATATGTTCCCAGTAAGGTGCATGTCTGCAAGGTGCTGCCAGGGGTCAAAGAAGCTTCTTGGGACATGGTTGGAGCCTCCTGCACTGTCCTGCTACAGTGCATTGGGAGGAAGCTATGGTACATGAGAAAAGAAACTCAAGTGGAGTTATTAAAAATTAAGACTTGTGATGGCTAACAACTGTCTGGACTGCCTTGGGTTTGAGTGGGAGAGGGGGATGCAGAACTGGGCTGAGAGTCACTTTGGTGCAGCTGCCTCTGATGCTCATCACTAGTGCATGGAGGGGGGGAGCGGGGTGGAAAGACGATAGCTGCTTTGAGGAGAGGAGTGGAAGGAGAGTGTGTGCCATATAACAAGGTTTGCAATTCTAGAACTAGCCACTGGACATGGATGCCAAAGTTTACCTGTTTTAAAAGTTTTAAACAAAGTTTACTAGCTATCCTTCTATTGTTGCTGCTGCTTTCCCCCCTTCCTGGTCTGATTCTTCTTAAGTTTGGGAAGCTGTGGCTGTTTGACATGATGGTCAGTGCTGACTCTCCCATCCCAGTCCCCACAGCACACATAGTGTCTCAACTACAGGATGTACAATGAGGTCTGGAAGTCACATGTTAGGCACAGACTAGCTCTGCATGCAAGTGGTACCTGCTTTCAGAACCCTTCAGAAAGCTATTTAATGGTGGCTCATTTCCTTCTTTATTAAACTGAAGGTTCAATAACCCCCATGAAAGGAGTAAAAATGGTTAAAAATGTGCAAAAAGAGGGAGAAAAAAAAGTCATTATTTTCTCCCCTGCAAAGACTTCATCGTCGGCAAGTCTTTCTCCCTGTACAACTACAGCCCTACCAGCGCATCTCACAGCACTCTGCCCCAGCACAGCAAGGCCACAGAGAACAGTCTTCCCACCTGTGCCTCTGCTGTGGGTCTCCAGTCTATTTGCACATGGGCTGGCAGGCCTAGGACCTGGTGTTTGGGTCCCAGACATCTTGCAGCACTGAGCTCAGGAGGGTGAAGGCAGCTGGCTTGGCTTGCTGGATCACACCAAGGTTTTACACTAGCCTGGCTAACCCTCAGCCCAACTGCCTTCAGGTGGGTGAAGAGAAATCCCAGCCTGCACTCTGTCTCACCAACCATCACAGTTGTTGGATCAGGACAGAGGCAGCTACAGACTGAACATAGCTGCTATGCCAGCTTTTCTGTGCGAAAAAACTGAGCAGAGAAATCAG